TTTAAAGAAATCTCACTGTAAAAATGCTCTTAGAATACTGCAATAATCTAGCAAAATTTTCCTCGAAGTCCTAGTGAAAAAGTTGTGCTTATATATTCTTGAAGTCAACATCTAAATTGCTTATCGGAAGAAAATGAATTTAATGAGACTTAGGAATCTAATATAACTTTTATGGAATAAAGTCAAAGAAAGAGCAGAGTCAAAACAAAGCAAAAAAACAAAGGTCAAAGGCCACGTGCACATCTAACACAATTATCTAAAATTGCATTATATAGGAAAGTAAGTCTTGACCAAAATGACTTCTAACTCCTTACCATAATTGTCATTATTTATGTGACTGGTGCTGGCAAGTTTTTTTTTAATTAATTATGAAAATTAATTTATTTCATTATGTAAAACATCGACCTATTCTGTCATACTTTTGAGAGAAAGAACACAATTGGTTGTGTCATGAGCAAATCTGTCCAACTAACGTCATCAGAAAAAAAAACTATAGTACGTTATAAAATGCTAAACCCAAATAGCTCCCAACGAAACATGTAATAAACATTATCCAGCCCTCATTCTCCGCTGTCACAAGGTCCTGAAAATGAGATCTTCTCCCTACCAGAAAAGCCAACTGACTTGATCTTCAATCTCCAAATAGCTGGTTAAAGGGAGAATCCTGTTATGGTGAGTAAAAAGCATCTCTTTCACCAAACTAACACATAAAAAACACTGGGCCCTGAGGAACTCTACCACAAGAACTTCTGCTTAAGGCAAAAATCCCTGCCCACCTAGGTTCTGTCAAGCCCACATACACAGGGGGAAACAAAGACAGCATAGGAAGACTACTTGCACTTTTTTACTATTTACACCCTTCCTGATTCCACCTCACTAAAAAAGAGAGAGAAAATCCATTCAAAACCTTAATTCTGACCACCTCAGCTTAAATGGTCTTCATCCCCTTCCTCTTCTACCACCCATTCCCTGGACTTCATCATCCTCTAGTGCAGCATGACTTGGCAATCTGAAATCCAACATCCCTTTCCTGTGCCAATCCCGGTCCTTCTAGCTCTCCCACCGCTCTTTGATTAAATTGGTGCTGCTAGTCCCTTAACCCTTCCATCTTCTTCCAATCAATCAAAGTTTTATGTATTTCCTTCTTTAGAAATAGAACACAGATCTTACCATCTATCATCATTTCAACCACTTTTCCTGCCAAGACTCTTTAGTGTCCCAGGTTAATTTCTCCTCCACTTCTACAAAGCAATCCACTGCTCCTCTCAAACTTTCTACCCGTCACTCCTTTCATCACCAATTGCTCCCAGCAATAAGCTTGTTTCCTACCTTACCAAGAATAGAGGCCATAGGCCAAACTATCCACGACTTGCTATCTCTCCACAATGTCCCTCCTTCAAATTTATCACATTCAAACTCATTTTTTTCTTCTTCCCTTCCTCTGTCAGAAGAAAATATGTTCCTTCTCAGAGTGAGAGCCAGTTCATTTACTTATGCCCTTGAAACTCCAGCTTCTCAGGGACCTTGCTCTGCCAAGTATTCCCTTTCTCTCCCATTTCCTTAACCTTAGTCAGCTGCCTCTTTCCCTTTACTGCTGTTGTTTCCCAAACTTCCTTCTTCGGCTCTGACATTCTCATGCTATGCACTGTTCCAGACCCATCTTATCTACTCCTATGGTTTCTATTATCATATATAAACTGATACTCCTAAATCTGAAATTCTAGACCTCCTCCTTAAGAACCAAACCATCACTTTCAAATACCTACTGGTCAGTTCCACTTGACACACACATAAATGTTAAACTTATTATATTCACGACTACTCACTTTTCCCAAAAACATCACCTCCTCTTACGTTCCTTCTCTTAGTGATCTACCCAGTTTCCCAAGCCAGAACCTGGGAGGCATCATAGATTTCTTTCTCTACGTTATATAAAAGGTCACTATGCCCTGATAATTTAAACTGCTAAGTCTCTTTTTAATCCATACTCTCTCTTTCACACATGACTATCACAATGCAAGCAACCTCCTGTCTACCTCTACTGCTACCTCGACACTGGCAATCATCACTTTTTAAAATTTACTCTCTTCGTCAATGTTAGTCCCCTCTAATTCTTCCCATGAATACTGTTACGGAAATGCTACTAAATATGAATTTGATATTATTCCCTCTCTTAAAAACCTTTAATGGCTCCTAATTACCTTCAGCATGAAATTTATTTAACATGGAATACAAACTTGTGCTAATTTCTCTGCCTAGAATGACCGCCCCCTTCTTCTATTGGCTTGCTTCTACTCATCCTATTAAGACTCAACTGAAGAATTACAAACTCTCTCTGACATACTTCCAAGCTCAGTTGGATCCCTCTCATTTGTTTCCAGAATAATGCCTGCAAATAGAAAATGACCAAAATGTTTTATTCATTAAATACATAAACATAAAGCTTCAGAGATTAGTGCCTCTGAAGGCAGTGAGCGTCACTTTCAGAAAAGCAATTTTACAAAGCTTTAAGGTAATTTTTAAGGCAAAGAAAAAATTATTCATACAAGTATTCCAGAACAGATTAGCTAGTAAACGTGTCCTAAAAAAGTTACATTGCTGAAACATAAAGATTCATATTTAAGGACTAAGAAAAATAAGCTGGTGCTGACAGCTCAGAGCCTGGAGCCTGCTGCGGATTCTGTGTCTCCCTCTCTCTCTGCCCCTCCCCTGCTTGCACTCTGTGTCTCCCTCTCTCAAAAATAAATAAACATTAAAAAAAAAGTACTGGGGAAGGAGATCTGCCTTCCAAAGTACATATACAATTACCACTGTAAGTTCTTAAGTACCCTTATAAGAAGGTCAGAAGTATTTTTCAACTAATAACTGTGAAGATACTGGGAGAGTGTTACCTAGCAAATCAGTATACAGATGGAAAAGCTTTTTATACTTAGAAAGGCCTTGCCTTGGGGCACCTGGGTGGCTCAGAAGGTTAAGTGTCCGACTTCAGCTCAGGTCATGATTTCATCCTTCATCCCCCAAATAAATAAAACTAAAAACTTACCAGTTTCTTAGAAAACAAAAGCCAAAATTGCTATTAATTTATCAGGAAAAATTTAATTCAATCAAAATATTTCTTGAAAGTCAAGGGTCCCTCCTATAAAATCATCACTTTTAGACTAATTACTTCATTACTGTTTTAAACTGGTAACACAGTGATGGTCATTTTCTAATTCCTAAAGTGGGCCCCTAAGCATATTAGAAGTGCCACTGGTTAAAACGTCAAGGTTCTTACATTCAACAAATTCTTACGGAGTAGGTACTATATAGGAAATTATGTATCAGAGATAATCACACCAAGAATGATTTTTGCCATTACCTCAAAGAGTAGTGCAATCACCAAGTATTTCTTTGGCCAATGTCCAAATAAAAGAGCTAATGAGCTATATTTAAAGTTCCTAGATTAAATGGACTGAGTTCTAGGACTCTGCAAATTACCTGTTTGGAATTCTGAATGCATTTTCTAAAAAAAATAAGGTAATAAATGGCAACTAAATTCTCAAACAAGTCCACAAAGACCTTTATATGTAATATAGAGGAATCTTAGTTTCTATATAAATTATAAGAGCTGCGAACAATCAGTTCTATAAATTATTGTCAAAAATACAACAGAACAGTCTAATTCTTTAAAATTCTTTAAAACTGCTTAATTCCTTAAAATTACTTATTATAACTTTCAGCAGAAAATGACACAGAGAAAATAATTAAAATTGGTATCACAAGCTATTGAGTATCTGAAATAAAATATATTTCGATAGTTATCTTTCCAAAAGTGGCACATCAGGTTCCCATTATTGGGTAATATTTGCTTACTTTATTAAAGGAATAGTAGATGGAGCATGTTGAAGACTAATGAAACCAAAAGCACTTACAGAAAAGTTAAGATTCCTTGGAAGCCTAAAATCCAAACTTTATTGGGTAAGTTTTAATTACAAAACCTTTATAAAGGCAAAACATTTAAATTAATATGAAACATTCCAAAATTCCTAGTAAACTTTTGGTGAATCCTAAATAGTAAATAAAATTGCTGGTAGGCCAAACTATATTATAGAAAAATAAAAATGATTGCTTTTACAAGTTTATCACTGAAATATCTTGTCCCCGATATGAGAAAGGAAATTGGGAAGCATTTTTAAAACGTTTAAGAGAAATAAAATGGCATCTTAAGAGAAAAAAATCAATAGTGACTAAACGTCAAATTCTTCAGTTTAGGAAAGATTTGGAGAATTTATACAAATAATTAACTGGAACCTCTTTAATAATACCCTTTTTGCTCTGACGACTTTACCATCATAATCCAGTAAGTCCACCCTTTAACCCTATTTACACAGGAAAGAAAACTGAAGCTCAAAGAGGTTAACACGTATTTCAAGGTGTACTGGATTTGACTCTAAACCCAAACTTCCCATTAAAGTATTGCTAATAACAAGGCTTAACATAATTATTGCGGGTCTTCAATATTTGTCATAAGTTAAGTGGCTGAATAATTTATTAACACTTCGTGGTACTGACAGAGTGAAGCTGCATGACACAAGACAACAAGGAAGGCTACTCCCCTTTGAGTGATACACACTTTAAACGTGAGGAGCACAGATGTCACCGCAACGATGGATGATAGTTTTAGAAGCAACAAACATAAGTTTTTTCAATTCTGGCTTGGCTAGTTTCAAGCTTGAAAAAGGCCAGAAAAGGCGAGGGTAAGACACCAGCTGAATTAGCTGCATCGGCTCACTCCGCGAACTTCATTCCTAAATCCGGAGGACAGGAGTGGAGAAAATCAAAGCTCCCCAGACGTCTCCAAAGAAAACTCTAAAAAGCGCTTGTGGAACAACCCACCGACTAGCAAATCTGGAAAGGTGAGGACCAAATTAAAATCAGACAGGAGTTTGGGAGCGAAGGACTGGATCTAATAGGACCAGACATGCTCACCGTGCCCTCTCCCGACGTCACCCAAAGCTTACCTCTTTGACAGGTGGGAATTTCTTCTTGCATTCCAGGGACAAGGCCCGTAAATCGCTCTGCATGTTCTCCAGCAGCTTCTTCACTGCCTCGGGGCTGTTGGTGCCGGACATGATCCACCAAACTACAATCCAATTTGGGCGGCGCAAACGAACTCCAGCACGGTCAGCTCCTTCGGGCGACCGGCAGCTCCCTCAGAGCACCTCCGGCCCTTCCTCAGCGCGCCTCCTGGGCTCCGCGGGGCTTGGCCCGGCCTGGACTACGAACCCACAGCGTACCCGAGCGCCCCCCGCAGCCTTCTCGCAACTCTCGCGGCTCCTCTCCGAGGCGCCCCCCCGCCCCGGTCGCCCCGCCCCGCTAGGCTCCAGCGGCTCTGGCCGAGGAGCCCACAAGGCGGGCAGGTCCCTCCCGCTGCCGCGGGGTCCGGCCGCACAGTTCGTCAGCAGCCAACCTGGCAAAATCTCCGGCGCTGGCCGCCCAAGCCCTCCAGACTCGCCGACGCCATTAGCCGAGTCGCCCACAATTCCGAGCGCGGCCGGGACACGTCAGCCGCACTTCCGGGCACCGCGGCCACCGCCCCCGCCGCGGCCAACTGGGGCGGTGAGCCGCAGGCGGGGCGTGGCCAGGGGCGTGGTCACGTCCGGGGCTCGGTCGGCTCCCGGAGGGGCTGCTTTCCCCAGCTCGACTTTGGGACCCGCTAGGCGTGGGCCACCATTTGCCTCGTCTAAATTTGCTTCTTCGTAGATATGTGACAGCTGTCAGAATGGAGCCACGTGTATCTTGGCGTGTCTCTTGGGGTGTGTTCGTGTTATATTGTATTTCGGTGTAAACAGTTTGCTTCCTTTTGTTTTAATCTTCATCCGTCTTGTCCCTCGTCATTTCTGCCCCCTGGAATCTCTGGGCTAGTGGCCCCAAACCAATGCCTACCTCCTGTTAATTTTATTTTCCTCCTAAGTACCTAAATTGCAATTCCTCCACAGAGTTGCACAAAGCATACTGGTGCGCTAACTGCGGAGTAGTCCTTTATTTCCCTAATTTTTAAAATGACAGAGAAAACTACCCTTTGTTCCAAAACCCTCCGCTGGCCTTCCATTTTGCCCACGGTAAAAGTCAGAATTCTTCCTTACACCTGCCAGGAGCCACGCGATCTGCCCCGCCCCCTTTTACCGCCAGTTTTCCAGCTAAAAGGCGTTGGGATTTTGTCCCCCTCTGTTTTGTTCCCTTCTTATCTCCGGCACTTAGAATAGTTCTTGGCATATAGTAGATGATCAATAAATATTTTATTTTATTTACATATTTAAATGTTTATTTATTTTTGAGAGACAGAGCGTGAGCAGGGAAGGGGCAGAGAGAGAGAGGGAGACACAGAATCTGAAGCAGATCCAGGCCCTGAACTGTCAGCACTGAGCCCCACGCAGGGCTCAAACTCAGAAACAGTGAGATCATGACCCCAGCCAAAGTCGGATGCCCAACTGACTGAGCCACCCAGGCGCCCTGATCAATAAATATTTTAATGAATGAATGTAAAAATAATTTTGGTGCTTAAATAAGAAACCAATATAAAAGCCTTTATTAGGTAACAAATATTAAGTGAGACACAAGTAAGCAGAAAACTTACCTGTGCTTCCCAAGATCTAGGTCTGTGTGCTTTTGCCCAAAACATCTTGCAACCACTGAGTAGGAAGCAGAGGAAGGTAGAGGGAAAGCCTGAACCAGGGTAGAGGTAGGAGATGAAGAAAGGAACACCTCAGACAACTGAGCGGATGACATCATTGCAGTAGGCAGGGCAGCGGATTGAGATTGTCAGTGGGAGGAAGGATTTGGCCCTAAAATAAGCCTTGCACCACAAGTACTTTGTAAACTAAATAATTTTTTCCTCATCTGACAAGAAGTAACACAAGGATGGATAAAGATAGCAGATAAGGTAATAGAGCTCTCAGAACACTAGTTTGTATCATTTGTGCCTATTGTGACTTTGGGAAATTTGATAGGTCCTATAACATAAGCTTTATGTATTAAAAACTGTGAATTTATAAAACAAAATCTTAGGTAGAATATATGGCAGACATTATTCTTGAGGTCCCAGGGAACTTTGAAAAATGATCCTCTTGTGGGGCGCCTGGGTGGCTCAGTCAGTTGAGCCGGGTTAAGCCCCAGACTCTTGATTTCAGCTCAGGTCGTGATCTCAAGGTCATGGGATGGAGGCCCATTGGGCTCCACACTGAGCTTGGAGCCTGCTTAAGATTTTCATTCTCTCCCTCTCTGCCCTTCACCCCCGCTGGTGTGCGATCTCTCTCTCTCTCTCAAAAATCAAATTAAATAAATAACAAAACCAAATAGTTTTCTATGTACATATGCCCAGGGAGATTGTACTGCCACAGAAACAATGCATGGCTTTATGCCAAAACCAACCAAGTTAGCAGGGGTAAAAATCATTCTTGATTCTACAAGTTAAGAAATCAGCTAGGTGCAACAGGGTGGCTCAGTCGGTTAAACATTCAACTTGGGCTCAGGTCATAATCTCACAGCTTGTGAGTTTGAGCCCCAAGTCAGGCTCTAGGCTGACAGCTCAGAGCCTGGAGACTGCTTGGGATTCTGTATCTCCCTCTCTCTCTGCCCCCCACCCCTGCTCATTCTCTCTCTCTCTCTCTCTCTCTCTCTCTCAAAAAAAAATAAACATTAAAGAATGTTTAAATAAAAAGACTTAGTTATCAATAAGCTTTAAACTCCTAGTTGAAAATTAGGAAACCTGTGTCTTTTTTTCTGAGCCTTTGTTGTGAATCTTTTGGAAAATGTATTTATTTAACAATGAGCATATATTCATATGTAACAAGAAAACTTGTCCAATGACATTCTAAAATATCTGTCTCAGGTGATGGTGAAATACAAATGTAACTCATTTTACCTTTCTAGTTATTCAATCCCTCAGATTTCACCATCATTCACTTATTCTCCTCTTGGATTTTTCTCTCTTCTACCTACTCCTTAGAGATTAGTATTTCCCAGAATTCTATTATTTACTTTCTTTTCTTTATTTTCTACTCTGGAAAATATGCACACCAATGGTTTCAATTACTACCAACCTATTTTAAAAAATTTTTTTAGTGTATATTTTTGAGAGAGAGACAGAGCGCAAGCAGGGGAGGGGCAAAATGTGAGGGAGACTCAGATTCCAAAGCAGGCTCCAGGCTCTGAGCTGTCAGCACAGAGCCCCGTGTGGGGCCAAATTCACAAACCGTGAGATCATGACCTGAGCCGAAGTCGGACGCTCAACTGATTGAGCCACCCAGGTGCCCCTATAAATACCAACCTATTGATGACACCCTGTATAACCTCAATATTGACAAATAGCAATAGAATGTCAGATTAACAGAAATACTACAGCAGGTATGTGGTTGCAATATCAGCTAAGAGATGGACATTCAAGTTTCTAAACCTTCCAGATATTCAAACTTTCTGGAATACATAACATCAGACCTTCTAGAAACTTCACTTCCCCTTCTTGTCCTACCTTATATATGTAAAGATAGATTGGTCCTATACATAGCATTCTCTAGAGACCATCTCACTTAGGCAAGGAAGTTCATCAATCTCAAGTTATATAATGCACAGCGTGATAGCTAAGGAAGCCTGCAGAGAATACTTAGACATGAAAACTCCTTTGATGCTCAGCTTCCCTAGGCTAACACAGCCTAGTCCAAGTACATTCCTGAATTTAGTACTAAGGGAATAAAACAAGAAACTGTTACTGGAATATCTCTGAGAATCATGATATCAAGCCCTTATACATAAATGTGTAACTCCAGAGCTCTTGTGTGAGATCCAAACATGAATATTCCACTGCCTACTGGACATCCTTACCTGGAAGTCTCATTGGCACCTATACTCCTTCCCAAAAAGAGGTTGATTCTCTTCATACATTATCTTTCTCAATGAGAGAAATTGGTTGCCACTATCCATCTGGTTACCCATATCAGGAAACTAAGAATCAAACTTGACTCTTACCCCTCCCTTATCCTCTACATCTAAGCTGAATCAAACTCTGTTACATTCATCACCCTTTGTAAATTTCAGTTCATCCTTTTTCTCCATTCTCAGGCCATCATCATCTCCCACTGGTTTAAAACAACAATTCCCAATGTATAACCCCTACCTCTCTCTAGTCCATTTTTAATTTATTTTCCACACTTGTGTCAGAGTCCTCTTTCTAAAATCAAAGTGTGAAGCCTTTTATGATTTTCTAATGTTTTGAGATTAAAGCCCAAACTCCTTTACATAGTATACTAGTTAGATTCTTTTAGACACCTCAAACAGTAGGGCTTCAAATAACCCATGTGAAAGTAAGAGACCAAGGAATTTCAGCCACAAGAGAGAGCCCTATGGAAATATAGGAAAAGCTTGGTTTCACAGAGCCTAGGATGTAGTTTGGAAAACTAGAAAGCCCTTGGGTGTTCATACTCCTTGACTCATCTCAGCAGCTGTTATGTTGCTTCCTTCTCCCTCATCTGATCCTGCATGTTTCTGCTAATATTTCTCCTGCTTCTACCAACCAGTTGCCTCACTCCTGACTCCACATGTCACCAGGATCCAGTTCTCTCATAGCTTTAGTTTCCTCGTGGCATCTGCTCTTTTCTCCTCTCTCTGTGTCCATTTAACTTCTGTTCTCTACCCTTCCAACTACATACTCTCTCTTGATGTGTCACAATCAAATTTTTAAAGAGAAAATATCGAAGTAGTTGAACAATCGAGTATCAATGCTGTATTTCAATTTCGCTATGCTTTTTGCTGGACTGCCTTCTAGGTCACTGAAAAGAATACAGATCAACTGTCCTTGGAGACAGAACCAGGAGACACCCCTGATTCCAACAGCTGTGGTCAAAGGTGATTGGTTTATGTGGTCAGGGCAAGGAGTTCACATGATACAGAACATGGATAACTATGTTGAAGAAAATATATCAGAGATCTGTTAGTTGGATGAGTTAATATGAAATTTTATCTGCAAATGTATTTGGGTTTTTTTTAATGTTTATTTTTGAGAGAGAGAGACAGAGACAGAATATGAGCTGGAGAGGGGGCAGAGAGAGGGAGAAACTGAATCCAAAGCAGGCTCCAG